GTGACCCGACTCCATTGCTTTCTAACGGAGTCATATACAAACACTACTGTTATGTCGTTACAGGTCACGTGGACATTCCCGCGTTTGTATATACGTAAGCGAAGCCCTTTCCAATTCAAAATTTTCATTTGACGCTTCGATTTGAATTTCAACAACAAAATGGGGAAACGATTGCGCGGAGCCAAATCGATTTGCTGCTGTGCGTCTCCTCGTTTCACTTCGTCATTCATCTCTTCATTTTCATGGTATAATTTCATCTTGACTGCATAGCTCTGTGTGTAATTTTGAGCTAATGTACGCCTAATTTTGGTCTATTCGAAGAGTTTTTTTATGTGTACAAAGTTTGTATATGTATATTTGAAGTTCATGTGTTTGGTTGTTGATTTACAGTGGTTCCGGATGTTCATTTCCAGTTAATTTTTAGTCCTAGTTAAGCTAATTCAGTAGATTTTCAAGTTGTAGTTGAAATTTTGGATCGAAGTTTGTTTGATTATTCGATGAGCGTGAATCCATGTCAATGTACTCTGATTTGATTGCTTGTTCGTGAGTTTATGATTTACGTAAGTGTGTTTTCATCGTAGTAGGTACATTTGAAACAATTGTTTTAGCATCTGTTGATTTACGAATTTGATGTGAACTTATTACACGTTTATCTCTGTTTGTGCGTGTGTTCCATTGATAAATTGAAGGAACTTCATCTGTGTTATGTTGCTTTTGATCTCAATGCAATGGAACTAGGCATGAAGAGGACATATGGACAGAAATTGCCAAGTATTTGGACGGGAAGTCTTTGGTGATGTTGGCAGCAACCAGCAAATGGTTCCTCCGTGTTGTAATGGATGAGAGTGTTTGGAAATTTGCTTGTCTGCGTGATCTTCAGGTCCCTGATTGCTCTGAAACAGCATTTAAATGGATCAATCTTTATGCTTCAGCTTTTGGTAAACATAGAGCCTCCTACTAATAGCTTTACATTGTCTATCCAGTAGATTTACTAGTGCATTATGATTGAGAATTGAACGTACTGCATATCTCATATCAATGATTGATTATGCAGGTGGAAGCCATTCTTATGATTTTCGTCAGAAGGAGAAGCATATTGGTAACCTATGCGTTTAATTACAACTTTAATTTGCTGCATGAACTTGGTTAATCTTAAAAAACTTGGTTAATCAAAGATTTAAATGGCAAATTCGTTTAATCTGTTCGGCATGGATTTATGCTATGGTACAAAGTATCTCCCGGTTGGTCACCATGTTTGGTTTCTGAGAATACATGATTAGAAACTGTAACTTGTAAGCCATAAGAGGATTAGAACTTAATAATGCATTAGGTTCTTCCTGTAGGTTGTTACCAGTGTTTTGATAAACTATAGGAAAGTAAAAACCATGGTCTATTGGAAAGTATGTAGAAAGAAGAATAGGAAAAAGTAAGGAATTCCCTAAATAGTAAATAGTATATGTGGATATGAAAGAAGGGTGCATATATATGAATGACACTTTGAACTTGCATATCAGACTGGATGAGAATAGGTGCATTTTGCATCAACTCATCAGATGCATTCCTGATGGAGAATCTCATCTGCCCTTCAAAGCTTCCAAAAGAAGATACCATGCAAAATATGTTGAACTCTTATGGGTCCTGTGTATTGCACAACATCAAAACTGGAATATGGATAGCGGGTAATATCTTGAAAACTATTCAAAGCATGATCCTTATTCACACCAACTCAATTATGTCCTTTTTTTTTTTTTTTTTTTTTTTTCCAGATTTACAGCTTGTTCGGTGCCCTGTCTGTGACCTGAATACATGTGATGGTGAGAAAACAGTTGCATTACATGCTTGAAGTTAAAAAATCAACCAAAGCTAGGTCTTACATTATATATGGGATAGAGATGTATTGTATTTTGTTGCTTGCAGGAACAATGCAGGTACTGGATGTGAGACACGTGGAGCTGTTCCTGACTGAAGGGTACCAGACAGGAAGCTGGGAGTACAAGTTGATAGGATCTCATGATATCAGAAAACATTCAGACAGTGCTTCTGGTGGCATTTTTGACATCAAGTATCTCAAGAGTCCATCTACAGCTGGTATATATAAACAGTGTTTCTTACCAAAACTAATTCAATATACTTACCACAAACAGAGAGCCTACAAATTAGTCTTTTTTTTTTTTTTTTTTTCTGAGCAGAGCTGTTCAATCTCAAGTCATGGGTGGGTAGTCCCAATGATTGGCAGCCGAAAGCCATGGTAACTTACCATGCAGTTGCTATCAACACCAATTTACAAGAAAATGAAGGTAAAATAAGCATCTTTTTTTTTTTTTTTTTTTTTTTTTTTTTTTTTAAATCAATATTCAGTCTGATTGCCAATTTCCTATCATATTTTTGTTTTTATATATGTTGCCCCAAAAGTTACATACACCAACAACCTAAATTAAACTAGCTATTTTGTATTGGGAAGCAGGCCTTCACATCAAATACCATGTAATGACATCTGGAGACACTGGTGAAATTGTCTCCATCCGTATCTCACAGCAACTGCTGTAAATACCAATTTCAAAGAAACCCACTTCTTATCCTTAGCTCTCATATAAAGGTCAGTATAGGCCATAAGTAATAAACACACACACCATCAGAAAAAAAATGTTTTGAAAAATGTATGATGCTCACTACTCGTATTTGCTATTAGGATTACCACGTAAGCCTCTTGAGAGGACACCAATTAGTTTCTAGAGGAAGGATTTTTAGTATATGAGGATTTGTAAATTGTTATGCAAATAACTCTAGACATTTTATATTTCTTATTTGACATTTAAGGAAAGTATACTGAATTAACATAGTATGGTTTGTGATACTGTTTGTGATGGTGAAAGTGACGAGGGGAGAAGCTAATATAATGTTTAACACATCTTGAGAAAATTTATAATATTCCATATTTAATCATAGCTTAGAAGAGGATGCTAGCTTTATATTTTGTAGCAGACAAAAAATTCAACATATATAAACCTTATATGGCTAGGCTATAATTCACTTCCTTAATTGGGATTTACACAAAAAAAAAATAATAATAAAATAAATTTGAAAATATTGAAATTTAGGAAAACTCATATACCTGAGCTTCAAATAATGGGTTCTGGGCCAAACTATCACAAAGTTGTCCTGACCTTTCCATGGGCCGTTGGAGGTCAAGGAATCAAAAGTTATGTTCTTATTCTTCCGTATGCAAACAAGCATTTTTTTCGTCATATAATGCACTAGTGGAATCACATGCATTTGCTTTTTCATGGTTCAAACACAAGCCAAGTCTATGTATTTCAGTATTTGGCATCAATTTTGTTTTCGTTTCTACTTTTCATGGTTACTAGTGTCAATTTTGACTCACTTATAGGTAAATGAATTGATTTTGATTTTTTAACTGGCCAAATAGATAAGACTAAAAGTACAGTTGAAATGAGTCAAAAGCCTGCCCAAAATATGTTCAACTCACAAAACCTCCTAAATTGTTTTGTTTGAAAAGTTCAAGTGTTATTGTGTTCAGATTCATAAACCTCCTAAATCGTTAACTTTATTAAGTAATAACATAGTTTTGTGGTCATATTAATGAATAGATTCGTTTTAATATCTTAAAAAATGGGTAAAAAAATACTGACAAATCCAATATCTTTTGACTGGTAGTAAAATATTCCATGCTATCTAAACTTATTTTGATATGTTAGTCAACAACTGTCAACCTGTAAAAACATGTTACTTTTTTACCTCTAGACATGGCAATGTTTATACCATACCTTGGCATGTAGGAGATGATGGTGGAGGCCAAATTCAAAACTAAACAAACACAGTCTCAAACCAAAGTCCTTGTAAATTCCATCCAAACTATTTACAATTATTTTTTGTTATAATTTATAAAGACAATCACGAATTGAATGATTATTGACTTTATGTTGTAATGAACGATTCAACAAAATCGATCACCTTTTTAAATGAAAAAAGAAAGAAAGATATATTTATATAATTATTTTTGTCAATGGGTTTAAATCTATGTTTTTGGACAAATTGTAGGTAATATCAATCTATATAATAATAACAACAACAACAACAACAATAATAATAATAATAATAATAATAATAATAATAATAATAATAATATATGTATATGTTTTATCGATAGTATCATTATGTAGGATTGAACTTATAAAATATGCTTTATTTCTCACAATAATTTTAATTTATTTTGAATGTCATAGTAGTCACACGGATAGCTTGAAATTTCTAGTGCAACTCCATTAAAAGGGAATTCTATGAGCGATAGATAGATAGCGATAAATTTAAACATCTTATTATTTTGAGTTATATGTCACTAATAATTATGACTGCTAACTTTAATTTAATTAAAACGTTATTAGGCTTGTAAAGAGAAACTATAATAGGCGATGGAGATTCACTTTTAGCATTAAAGGAGTATGAACTTGATAAATCAAAACATGTCATGCAGATCTTAAATTATTGGTTACTATATATAGTTATTTTTACTTTAAGATCCGGTTTGGCCTTGTAAGGTAAAATATGTGAACCCAGGCCATCATGGGTATGGAAGATTTTGGTACTTTAGGCGCTTCAATCTGTTTGATGTTTCTTGAGAATTGTGTGTGAGATGTTCAACTTGGTGAAAAAAAAAATCTTTCAATTTCAACATCAACTTATTACACACACTTGTTTATTAAACTTTAAAGTAGGTCTCCAAACTATGAGATTATGTTATACACAACATGAGGGATTGTTATTAAGAACTTTTAAATTGTGGTGTTCTTCTAGCTACTTCCAAAGATATAAAGGCCTAAAAGGAGTGGCCATTGACCATTGACTTTTGTTAGTTAATTCTAAACAAATGTAGGTTAGCTGTTTATAGGCTCAAAACGCTACAAACATTTGACATAGAAAAGTCAAATATGCTGACATAGTAGTAGTACAAGGGTAATAGCCTTGTATCTTTTGCAGGAAAAGAAAAAGAACATCGATGGAGGATCTGAATTACATCTTCTCCCATCTCCTATTCCTGATCCTAATCCTAGTTCATAGTCATCCCTCATCAGCATCATCATCATCATCATCATACAACTGCCCAACTTCCTTCTGTGGCGCTGGCGCAACTCCATACTCTGTTCACTTTCCCTTTCGTATGATCGACCAACAAGCAGACGTGTGTGGCTATCCGGGATTCGATCTTGAATGTAACAGCCAAAACAGGGTGACATTAAACCTTCCGAATTCAGGAGAGTTTTTGGTACGAAACATCGATTATGGATCTCAAATTGTGCAAGTTTATGATCCATCAGGCTGTTCTGCCTCCAGGCTTTTGAGTTTGGACCTGTCGGGTTCACCATTTTCAGTCTCCCCAATCCGAAACTACACTCTTTTGAGCTGCCCGGTTGAGCTCACAACCTCCCGTTTCCCTACTGTCAGTTGCCTCAGCAATTCTACATATTCTACTGTAGCCACTTCTTCTGTTAGTTTTGCTATGTTAATGGCTAACCGCAGCTCTTGCCAGATCATTGGTTCTTTATGGAGTCCGGTGTCGAGGTATCAAGGTCAAGAAGGGCTCACATCGAACCTAAATATGGATATATTTTTGACATGGGATTCGCCTAATTGTCAAGATTGTGTAACTCAGGGCGGGGCTTGTGGTTACACAAATACCACTATGGAAGAAGTTGCATGCTTCGATATTACCAAAAAGGGTAAGTAGATTTTTTTTTTTTTTTTTGTTACTTAATGGATTAAGCACTTAATCATTTTTACCCAAAAAAAAAAAACACAGCTTAGTACATTAAGACGCTGGCTTCTTTTCTGGAATGTAATGTTAAATTTTATTTACAATTTATTTCGAAATAATGAATCACATTTGCAATTTCAGGAAGTAAAAAAGCAATGGTGGCATTAATAATGGTCTCCATGGGCCTAGCTCTACCAGCGATAGGAATCTCCATTGTGATGATATACTACATCTGCATTGACTACAGAAGTGTAACCACGTGGATTTCAAGAAACAATGCAACAGCAGCTACCGCCATGGTGACGCCAGAAACCACCACCGCCATTAGCAGTTTGGTGGCGGGTCTGGAGCAGTCGACAATAGAGTCGTACACAAAAGTGGTTTTAGGGGAAAGCATGCGTCTTCCAGGATATGGAGATGAAGATGCAACATGCTCGATATGCTTATCTGAATATGATGTTAAAGACATGGTTAGATGTATACCAGAGTGTAGACATTGCTTCCATGCTGACTGTATTGATGAGTGGCTAAGGATGAAAGGGAATTGCCCTGTTTGCAGGAATTCACCTTCTCCCCCTCCCTCACTTATTATAACAACTTAACATAATCAATATCTCAACTGAAACCAACATCACAAGTTAAAAAAGAATTGTAGGATGGATTAAATTTAGGAAATTAAAATATAACCAATATTTTGGTACATGTTTTTTTTAGCTAATTTGACATCATTATAAATTAAAATCCTTGGATACTTGTTTGTTTCTAATCTGTCATCATCAAATACTCTGACTTGTGATAATATCAAAGCCTTAGTCCTGTTAAAGGATATATATACATACATAACATATCTTTGCTTCCAACTCAAATTAATGCAGCTTTTCCTGTTACAGATCAAAACTTTGAGGCACAAAACAAGTATTATCATGTACCTATGATATCAACACTAAAACCAAACTCATCCACAAGTAGGGGAATTTATAGATTTATTTTTTTCTGAGCATATCACTTGTATATTAAGAAGCTTTAATACATCATTTCATAAACATAACAAACAGGATCAGGAAACATTCCAATATTAAGAAGCTATAAAAACAAGTACAAGTAGAAATTAAAAAAGAGCATCTTCTCGAATCACTTTTTAGCAAGCAGCTTCTTTGGTAACCTCTCAATTGGTGTGGTTTTCAGAAGGAAAAGTCTGGCTGCACGTTCTTGCAAGGTGCCCCCACACTTTAATCCCCTTTCTTGAAGCTCAGATTTAAGCCTTTCCATACCAACAACCTAAAAGTCAAGAAAATTTTTGATGAAAACAAATTGGAAAAAAAAAAAAAACACAAATGCAATATAAAACAGATTGAAGCATACCTCCATTTCTACTGCTGAGTTGAAATCCTCAAAATTTATTGGCTTCTCCAAGACAGGAGGAGACTTGACTCCTAATTTAGAATCAGAAATTTTCTCTTCTGCATCATTTTGCACATTTGAAGCACTTGGAGGTTCACACTCTTTTTCTTCCAAGTCACCAAACTCAGCTTTGGTGGATTTCTCAGATTCAACTCCCAATACTGTTGTTTCATTTACAATGCTCTCTTCATGTATCATTGATGCATCAACCCCTTCATGATGAGGAAGTTCATCATTGGAATCTTTAATGGATCCCACTTGTCCTTCTGCAACACTCTCCTTTTCTTCCTCTGATGATGAACAACCAACTGATGCTTCTCCTTCAAGTTTCCCACCAGTAACAGATGCTAAACTTCCATCTGCTTCCTTATTGGAATCTGATTGGTTCTCATTGTTTGTAACCACGGATTTCTCATTCTCATCATCACTATCTTCCTCATCCATCTCATCACTGTCACTCTCACTGTCATCCACTTTTCGCTTTCCCATCCTACAAAATGCAAATGCATGTTATCGAGGGCTTAAAATGGTGTGTTTAATAATAACAAGAAGAAGCAATCAACTCTTACCAGATCTTAAGTTTCTTAGATTTCGAACCACTGCCATCCTCCACGTCTATCCCAGCAACCGTTCTCTTCGATTTTCGAAATCCACCAGCAAGTGATTCCCTAACCGACTTATCAACATCCTCCATACATTTGGCTGAATCCTTTCGATACTTCTCCACATACTTCTCCGCCCCATCGCCACCGCCGGCTTTTTTCACCGTCTTAACTTTCTTTTTAATGAATTCCTCCGCCACCTTCTCAAGCTTCCGCTCTTTCTCTTCAGCCAACCATTCCTCCATCTTCTTCTCCGCGTTCACGTGCCTTAGCCTCCGACCACTCATATCCCGACACGCATCGAAGTTATTCGTCTTCTTCTGACCAGCTTTCGTCGCCGCTCCACGAAGTAACGACCCAAACCCACCCTTACCTCCACGGAGACGAAGCAGGAGGTGCACCGTTGATGGTGCAGAATTCCCGTGGTACAATACGCCATCGTCGAAAAGTGTTTTGCCGTTGGATAAGAGGAGTTGATAATGTACCGGGATCGATGTAAGATTTTGGATTTGTACTTTGATTGATGAAACTGGGATTCTTGGGGTTTCGAAATTTAGGGTTCTTGATTTACCATCCAAGAGTTTTGCAATTACCTGATAGATTTTGGATTGACATTGCTCCATCAGAATCAATCACTCCAATTCCAACCGGAAAACGATCTGGTAGATGTGAATTCCAACTGAAAACGCTTTGATCGAATATGAGTAAAAGGGCCTGTAAATGATAACTATTGCGATATCTATAATCTATATTGAGCCCTAATTTGGTTTAACCGGGTCTTTACCGTTGACCCGGATAAATTCTTGTTGTTATTTGGCCCCTTCTTATTAAAGTGTAACCAATTTTGATCTACCAACTTAAATAATTTCCATTAAAAAAAATAACAAAAGTAGTCATTTTCTTAACTATTTAACAAAAATTAAAGATTCATTATCAGTTTTCGTAAAAGTAATTGTTAGTTTTAAAATTAGTTATAAAGTAAAAGCTAAAACCTTTCAAAAGAAGATTTGAAGTTGGAGTTAAAGTTTTATGTTTAATATTAAAGCTAAAAGTTTTTGCTCACAAATAAAGTTTTTTTTTTCAACTTTTCACTTTAAAGGTTAAAACAAAATTATGTTTGGGGTACTGAGTGATAGCTGAAACATTGTGAAAGTTAGTTATTAGTTTATATGTTAGCTTATAAAAAGATAATGTTTGGTAGAAACTAGTTGATAAGCTACTTAAAGTATATAAAACGATATTTAGAAGAACATTTTTTTATAATTACTTAAGGATATATTTAGTAATTTAAAAAAAGTCCTAAAAAACTCATCTAAGTATATTTTTAAAAAAGTAGTCTGTAAGTTACTTTTTGGTTTGTAAGTTACTTTTTGGTTTGTCAAACATGAAAAGTAAAAAAACATAAAAAAATCAAATAAAAAAACTTTAAAAACAAGTTAGCTTATCAGCTAATTGTGATGTCAAACACAACCTAAAACTCTTAAAACCTCTGACGCACTTAGGCTATGCACCATAATTACCCACAATAGCAGAAAGTCAAATCTTAAATAAAAACAAATTTAACACTAAATCATACACATTCCCTTAGTGATTCTTTAAACAAATGAATTTCAACTTCTAGAAACAAAAAATGTCATAAAATGTGTATATACCTTTAGAATCTTAACTATCTCTCAACACGCGACACAACCTTTTATATAGAAATAGTGAACTAGGGACACTACTAAACGCTAATAAACACTTTAAATTCTAAGTCTATGCTCCTAGTAACCTAATAAATAAAAAATATGATCCAATATAAACCAGCATTATAATATCCATACAAACACTAGCTCAACGATGATGCTCCAAGTTAAATGATTTGTTAAGCTAAAGGAAATGGTTTATGCATGCGTCATAATTTGTCTCCACAAGAGAGATGAACCTTGATATGCATGGATCGCCTAAGTTAGAGGAAACCTAAATGTGATAATGAAGGCAAACATTTGTCACAACAAGAAACGAGACCTATGGTGACGACAAATATCATCAATATGGGTTCAAAAGTCATCCCTATAAGTGCCTAAGACAATAAGTCATCGCATCGTCATCGCCCTTGTCACCACAACTTTGTCGTAATAGATCTCTTTTTTCATTGACATAGGTACACTTTTAGCGACGACAAATTGTCGATGTAGGTTCGTAGCTATATGTTTCTAAGAAAATTATTTAAAAAAAAAAAACTATACAACAACAAGTCATCCCTGTAGGTGGCCCTATATCGATGACTTTTTGTTCTGCTATTGAAATATCTATATGCCTAAGAGTCATTATAGATTGATATGTGCTAATGACACATGATCCTATGGGGTCAAACCTTATTGCAAATTATCACTAATTGATTATTTATTAAAGTAATTTGATTATTAATGAATATTATCAACACTTGTACTTAATTAGAAAATTATTAGTTTATGAAAATAATATTTTAACAACTAATTGAGAATTATTGTTTATATAAAATAAAATAAAAAAGAACAAAGAAAAACTAGTTATATTCACATGGTATAAATATATATGTTATATACAATTTATTTGGACACTTTGTATAATCATCTAGTTGGCATGCAACTAGCTAGTTAGTAAGGTAGAATGTAACACACTCATGCTCCATACCTCCTTATGGAGTCGTGGATTCTCTTTCCATGTGAGGAGAATGTGTGTTGCTTTTGTTCTTACATGTCATGCTTGTAAGAAGAGACCACACCTTACTTTATTACTATCTTTGACTTTATTACATATGTGTATGTATATAAAGAGAGCATAAGCTAGTTTAGGGTTGATCTTTGCATCTTTTTCTTCTCTTCTTTGGCTGCCAAAACCGAGAGAATTCTAATGATCATACCCTCTCCTCTTTTGCAATGTGTAGTGTAGAGTTTGAGTGCTTATTAGATATTTGGTTTGTTTTGGAACAACATTTGTTTTGGAACAATGTATGTTTTGAGTTTAGTTTGTCTAAATACACGTCTCAGTTAATTTATTAGATAATTGGTTATTTACGTAATCGTTTTTCATAACGATTACATTCATATTTTGAAATGATGAAATTTTGTTTTTGAGAACTAGATCTCTTAATTGAGTTATAAAGTAAATATCAATGTTTTCTAAATAATAAGTTCTATATGAAAACACTTTTGACTCAAAGATGTTTCGAATCAAACTTATCTATGACATTGTTATCTTTTATTATACAAATAAATACACATATTTTAACTTCAAGGTATCGATTTTTGAAGGCAAATAATGTAATTTATTTGATATATATGAATCTTATTTATATATAAAAAATTAATAATTATTAAGAAACTATACATAGTGATATATGACTTCCCTTCTAATGAACTTTTATATTTAATGCAAGATACATAATCAAATTTATTAACAATTATAGTTGTTGTAATTATATTGTATATGGTAAAAGATAAATATGAAATCGTTTGAAGTTTTTAAGAATGAAGTTGAGAAACAAATCGATAATACCATATGGTTTACTTTCTAATCGGTAGAAATCATTTTCCTTTATCTTTTTGGGATTATGACTTAATCACTATCATTGGTATTTTTAATACTAACTCCAAATAAGAAGTAGATAAAACACTTTAAAAAATTTAGTATGAAAATGTTTCATCCTTATCTTAATTAATGTTTTGAGGATTAGAAG